CTTAGGAATCAGCCGCTTTATTGTTTGCATCGTTAACTAAATCACACATTAATTTCGCCTCTCGCGTTCTCGTGGACGCAAAAAAGTTTAATTTATCAAATAAGGAAAAAGGGGAAAGGATAACGATACTAATTGAAAAACAATTTCCAGTTAAATTATTGTCAGTCTGCGTAGAATCAGAGTGTCATTAATAATAGTCAAAATGTGAAATAAAGCGGCCGGTGAAAGTTTCGAAGGTTTTTTGACGTGTGGGTTGAGTATAAAAAGTAAAAGAGATGCAGGGAACTATTCGATTATAGCGAAAAAAATTTAAAGAGAGAGGATGCTTGCTGTAAATGATAGATGATTAAAAGCAATATGATTCAGCGTTGTTTTTTGAGAGCTGAATGTAGCTTGAGATTGAGGAAATAATAAATTGATTCAATTATTCGGGACAAAAAGGGAACAAGAATTTATTTATCAACGTCAGCGGACTGTAAGTGTAATTAGGATGATGGAATGGTGTTGAAACTTGTCTCTGCACCTGTTAAATAAATTTATAAATATTTCTCATTTAAGTTTGAGTTTGATATTTCATTAGCATTACCACTTTACCGCAACACCGACGATTCCTGAGCGTTTAGCGAAGCTAAGAGTTTTTATGTATGTGCTCATTTTAATTTGTCTTGTTTTTCTAAACACTGTTTTAACACATGTACTGCACTTGCTCTTTAAATAAATAGCAAAATAAAAGGCCACTGCAAAATGGTTTAAACTACATTTAGCAATTATCCACTCGATGTGTTCACGGTTAATTGCAACTGAAATTCCAAACAATATTAATTGCAAAATGTTGGTTTCAACTTTTATGAATGTTTTAATTTTTTAATTAAACATGTTCCTGGAGTTTCAGTGCGAGTGTAAATATAACCGCATTTTTTGCAAACATTAATTTTTTCAGTTCATATAGGTACACAAGGCGTAACACAAAAAACGCACAAAGTGGAATTTTACATATTATAAAAAAATAATAAAAGAGTTTTTCATTTCGACTGTAATCGTTTAAACCTAAAAACCCTTTTCTCGTTTGTTCGTCGTAAATTCACGCATTTAGCAGCTTTCCGCCCTTGCGATTTTCTATTCTAAATGCGGAAAAATTGGTTGAGTTTTTTTAACATGTGACGGTTTGATAGTTTTTATGTGTCCCATTTCTCTTCCGTACTATTGTATGTGGGGCGAAGCACCGGAATAGGAACTCGTATTTTCAGATAATTTTATTACCAGGTTTCATAATCGTACGCTTCCTTTCAACAATACAAAATATGGGGATAAAAGAAATGTTTTGTTAGTATTACATTTGTTTACAACGTCAAATGGAGATGAAAACCTATAACTCGTTTGAACAACAGACCTTCAGTGCGAATGAAAATACGATATTTAGTAGCCACGTGGAAGCAATCAAGTCGTTTTACCTGAGAATATTAAAAAAATTAAATTAAAAGTAGGGTGAAAAATGTGTTCAATTTGTCAGCGGTGATGAAAAGTTTCCATTGGTGACAGAGTTTTTAATACTGCATTTGCCTTCCCTACTTACGAGTTTTTTTTTTGTATCTTGTTATATAATTTAAAATTACTTCGTTACACCTGTGGGCATTTTTGTAGTTAATTAAAACAATATTGTTTCTGTACTTCAAATAAATTGGAGTTAGAACTCTCATTGGGGTGACTTTGTTTGGATTCTTCTTGATTTTTAGACACAGCTTTCTCGTCATATACATTTTCTTTCATTAATTATTTCTTCCCTTAATTAAAAATAAGCATGACGTGGGCTCTTACCAGCTACGAAAGCTTAAATAAACCCTTGCAAGTAATTAATCGCATGCTATTTTAAAGGTGCTGCTTGGATGCATTCTTCAAATTTTTCTGTTTTGATTTGCATAAAATAAATTTGTTGGGTATGTTGCCAAGATTTATTATCAGAAATTTTTTAGCAGGAGTTCCTTCAGGTAAGTGAAACAGAGCGCAGACGGTATATTAAAACTTCAAGAAATTAAATGCTTGCATTGTTTTTACCATAACTTTCAACGTAATTTTAAATCAATAATGTTTTTTTCATTTTTGATAAAATACTCGATTCGAAGTAATAATGCCGTGATTGAGCCCACGATAAAATGCTGTGAACGTTTTAAAATCGATAAATAAGGGTTAGCTCCTGATGAAAATGCAATGGTGCTGCGAAGGCCTTTGATACAAAATTTTAATAAATATAAAATTTTAGTTTGTAGTTGTAGGCGTTATTAATTTCCGTAGTGAAAGTCGAGGGAAGAATTGTAATAAGGTCATTTTGACGAATATTTAATGTCATATTTTCTCGGCGTTTCACAAATGTGTCTATGTGCATGCTTCTTACCAGATATTTAGTTCAAATAAGTTGTGCGAATTATTTATTGTTATTAATTGATCAGCTTTTAACCATGAAAACAAAATTATCCAATTAACGTAAGTTTTTAATATGTACTACGTGTTAGTTGTGAGGGTTATAGCTCGATCGTTAGAAGTTGCCAAGTAAAAGTAAAGTTTTAAAAATATTTCCAAAATTAGTGAATGGCTTTTCACTGTAACGTTGACGTTTTGGTGCTTTAAATAATCATAAACCATATAAATTTACTGAAAAAATGCAGCAACAAACATTATAAATGTTAACAAGTGTAGTTGTAGAATGTTAACCATTTTTTTTTTCATTTTTCTGCTTTTCTTTTCCTTCCTCTTCTTTTCTCTCATGCACTTGAATCAGCACTTTGGGTTTTAGCCAGAAATGAAGACAACTTTTATTTTTAAACGAAACAACTGTTTTTGGTACATTGCAAAATTGTTCCTAAATTTTGTTATACGATTCTTTGCCAATTTTATGTCACTGAACAAAGAAATATAAGAGGGGTAGTTCCATGTAAAAAAAAGGCTTTTATGGTCACTCACTTATTTTATAAATTCACTTTGGCTTAATTTACTCGTATTTTATATATACAGCGTGAGCGCTAACGTGCGATTCTCGATATTTGTTTTATTATTAGAGACAGAAAAAAGTTACTACTACTACTACTAAAATTGTTTTTGTTTTTTATGTAGCATACGCAAACATTATTTTCGACTACACAGAGTGTTTTATTATTTTTTTTAGCTTTTTTTTGAATACAATACCTTATATATTTTTACATATTCTCGTAGATTTTGTAACTAGAGTTTATTTTTGAAATTTCGATGCGACGTTGCCATGTTATTCCAATTCTCTCGATTTTTTTTGACAATGTAGGGGTCCACAAAAAAAACCGCAATATTATTTTGAAGATCTCTGTTGCAATATTTTATGGAAAGATAAACAAAGGTACGCACCTTATTATGGTATGAAATAAATCAAATTTTCATACACATAGTGCTTATAAAATTTTAAAACATTACATGTCAATTAAAATATATAAAAATATGTAATGTATTCCACTAAAAAAAAAAACTAGGTTGTGTTACGCTTTGAAAACAGAACACTCTGTAGAGTTGAAAATAATTTTAGTGTATGGTCTTCAAAGAACCGTACAACTTTGCTCTTTCTAATAGTTTTTAATAATTAAGGAATAGAGGAACGCTTAGAGGCTCATCCTGTATACTTGAAATGAAATACACTCTATATTTTATAAACACGACCATATGAGAAACTGAAACCATATATAAAAAACTATTTTTGATAAACAGTGAAACGATGGTGCTTTTTGATTTAACCCATGATTATCACTTTTGAATTTTGGTTTTTAATAATTTTGGGTAATCGTAAAAACAGCTTTTTAACATATTTTAAATATTGCATAAGTTGCAATTATTATCGTACAAGTGTGGTAACTTTTCGTTAGTCCGCGTAGGTATATTGCATATTTTATTGATGAATTCATAGTACCTATGTTAAAAATGAAAAAGATTTTTATCTTAAAGTAGTCGGTTTTGGAGTAGTTTATGCAACGGTTTTCTGAGACAAATATTCAATATTAATTAACAAGCCTGCTGCTGTAAGTAAAATTTTTTCAATTGACGTAGATCTAGCAAGTATACATAGTAGCATAAACAAATAGAAACCAAACTAAACTTAAAATGTTGTTACAAAAACAATGAAAATTTTACCAAGTATCTGACAGCTAAACTTACCCTGACTTCGTGACGTTGCTACGTATATTTGTGCGAGTAAATTTCAGTGTTAGAACATCTTTAAAATGTGAATGGAAGGGCGAATATTGTATTTTCATTTTATAATTTGCATAAAATCAATAGATCAGATGTGAAGAGTTTACGTAAAATTAATTATCAAAGTTTGATTTAGTGAAACATCAGCTTGTGTTAATAAATGAGCTGTAAGTTCCACATTTCCGTCGAAAGCAAAAGTGAATAATTGGTGAAAACTCTTGTAGCGAACCACGTAAAAACGGTCACTTTATTAAGAGCTAAGTAGTTTATCAGCTGACAACAGCGACTAAAATGTCGGAGCGGGGTATTTAACGAGTTTATCCGTTTTTGTGTTAAAACTTCATACAAATATTTGATTACCTATATTTTCGCGGCAAACTTTAAAGCATCCTCCAATTAAAGTCTTACCCAACTAACGTAATGCACACACAAACTTTTCCCATTATAATGCAAACACTTCCACCCAACTGTAAAAAATGATGTTATCCTGCCCACATCCATTCACACTCGCTAACCCCATTAAATCAGTTTAATCCATTTAAATTCATTTTCTCCAAAGCCGGCAGAAATTTTCAGCTCTGCCAAATCGTTATCTGTGTATCAAGGTAGTGATTTTTTTTGTCACGAACGAATGTGTCATAATTACATGACAAAAACATGCTTCAGAGACGTGATGCACACATTTTTTTTTCTGAAATGGGATGGAATTGTACTTTAACAATTGTTTATAAATACATCACTCAAGTTACAAAAAGTGTGATTTAATGATGATTTGAGAAGTCGAATATTTTACATACCTGCATATTTTGCCGCCGTCTGGTAAAGTGTATCTCGACACAGATCAAATCTCTGATGGAATTTCTGAATCTGCGCGACAGAGCGCAATAAATAATAGGGTTAAGGGCGGAATTGGCGTGGCCTAGTAGAAGTAGCTTCGTTTTTAGGCTTTCGTCTGTCGAAGCGCCGTTGATGTCATCTACAAGACTGATGATGTGGTATGGGAGCCAGCAGCCTGCGAAGACGAAAGCCAAGAGGAGGAGGATGCATGCGACTCGCCTTCGACTTCGTATAAGTCGGTTCCTCTGAAAGTAGAAAAGGAGTCATTAATTTTGTAATAAATGCTCGGTGCCTTGGTGTTTCAACTGAGTGCCTGTATTGTAAGCAAAGTTTGTTGATGCTGGATCAGACTGTAAATGTTTGAGCAATTTGTGTATGCCCTAGGTTGCGAAGCTCGGTGGTTACGGTTGATTTCCAGGTTTCGTATTGGTTGGTGGCGTGTTTATTTGATCTTATTGATGGCGGGTCTGGCGTCTGCAGCAAGTTGTGGAATTTTAATTATTTAGTTGAGGAATTAATTGAGAATGATCGCATCAGAACGAAATATGATGGGTGTTTTCTGGCGGTGTGATATAAAAGAAAAAACAGGTTTCAACTCTGGTTTGTTTGTTTGTCTTAATCTGTTTTGCATTTTTCTAAATGTTTAATATAAACTACATTGTAGTGATCTCAAATCATTCATGTTAACATTAGAATATGAAAACACTAGTAATAAATTAATAATCTTTACTTGTTATACAGAGTGTTACCAAGGTATCAAGAACTCATCTAGCATTTTACTGACACTTAAAACTGTAACTGTAGTAGAAATAATAAGTTTTATTAGAGTACAGCAATAAAATCTTACCATAGTGGTATGATAGCAGCAATTTTAGTCTAAGCTTCAGAACAAAGTAACAACACAGAAGATAGCAAAGATTCTAGAAACAGCATCTTAAAAGGTATATTAATTTACTTATAATCTTGTTGTTCTAATATTTTAGTAAAAGTTGTCAAAACTTGCAATGCTACATATTTAAAAACTACTGTTAGTGATAAGTTAACAGAAACACGTGGGCGAGAAACCTCTGTGGAAATACTGTATTGTATTTATTCCTACTGTTTATTCCCGCAGTCACATAAATGTAAATGTATTACGAGCTTTTTAATAATTTTGTTTACAACTTGATGTAGTCACAGGAGATTATTCATTGCAGTTTTACGATAATTTAAAATTAAACAATTGAACAATAATAATTCTTGAAGCGACAATGAATTTAAATGTGCCTTTTTCCTGACATTTTCTGCTTTTTGCCCCATATTCATATTTCATTGAAATCGAAGTCAACAGACGGATTACCAAACAATGTAAAATTAAAAGAACCCAGATATTTGTTTTTTCGCATTCCATATTTTTCGCATAATACGTTGATAATTTTAAATATGAATTAAATAGCTAAATAAATTTAGGATCGAATTTACAAAACATGATTATGTGTTTTTCTTTCCTCGTTAAATGTACCGAACGTTAACATATTGTGCATCTAAGGTATTTATTCTTTACATCCACTCCTAATTCACTATTTTTATTAACGGATTATAATGGCTGTTCCCGCAGAAATTTTATATTTATTTGATGTCACAGATTTTACTTTGCGTTTTTTTTTGGCGAATGGTTACTTTTACGTTTTCTCATACTCTTACAGTATGAATAAATAGATCTCCCGTTTCTGTCTGTCTAGTTGTCGTCTGTGTCGATTTTCATTAGACGGATAATCTCCGAAACTGCTGGACCGATTGTGTCTAATTTAATATATATGATGGAAATATCGTGCACATGGTATTTGCACTACCTTAAGTTTTATGTTTTAAGTATCATGTATTTTGTATTAACATTATTAAAATGAAAAGAACGTAAAATAATAACGAAAGTGCTTATGGGTACTTTTAATTAACAAACTTTTTTACGTAATGATGACTCAAATCTTTACGTGCTCATCGATTAGCATTATCCTGTCAAACCCACTATGATCAACCTATTTTTGGCTTGCTGATTTTTCATTCTAGACCAGTCAGTGTGATTTAAAATCTTTGCGTTTCAGCATATAAAGCTGACACTACAATAAAATGTTAAATTTAAAAATTGTCTGCTTGCGACTTCTTATGGTAAACAAACAATAATATTGAGTCCGAAATCCAAAGCATCGCTTTATTTGAAAATACATCTTTCAATAAATCTCTAAATTCCTTTCAAATTGAAGAATACTTTTCCCTCCATCGAAGGGGAGTATAAGGCAATTAGACTCCAACATTGATCGCAAATTCCGTCGAAACCAGATGGGGAACTGGAAGAATGATTACGCAAATATTTGAGCCGAATAAGCTATTAGCTGCTGATGAATTCTCTAAAACGGGGGCAAAATGCAGTTATCCAATTAAGCTCAAGCGACACCCTTTGAAGTGCCGTGGATGTTGGGAATATACAAAAAGTGCAAATTTGCTTGCATACTTAACGTTGTACTCACCTGTTGCACAGAGGCCAGTCCATCGTTGCTGTCGAAAGGTGGAACTCCGGAGCAGAGAGTGCGACTCATCATCGAATAGGCGAACAGCATAATCAATCCTGGAACGTCGAAAATCCCGTGTTAAGTCCGGGTCACAGTTGTGTTACGTAGATGCATTAATTCAACGAATATGTCTAGTGTAACATCCATTTGTCATACCTAACGTTGCATATTATAACGCTTTAAACATACGTAAATAGTTGGACATAGATTCCTTGAATTGCAGAATGTTGTTTTAACGTTTGAAGATAATGGTAACTCAATGGAAAGGGTTTTAAAATTGAGACAAATACGTAGCAATGTCACGTGCTCAGAAAATATGCACTAAAAATTCAAAAACACACAGCTAAAAATGCAAAAAAAAATTAAATGCCCTTATTTATGCTCTTATTGATAGCTGTTTTACCAAAGGACATGTTATAATTTTGTACTAATTCTTTTATTAAATTGTAGACGTCTGATATAAAATACTAGAAACAAAAACCTTCTTACGAGTACGTTAAAAGCTCTTTATGTAATATTAAATAGAATTTTAAAAATGAAAAAGAAAAATGAATGAAATTTCTGAAAATATAGTCTCACGATACAAAGTTGTCAAGTTGACTATAGTCAGATATTTTCTTCGTTCGTGACTCCCACAGTACGAAAAAAAGTCTCCTGTTTCGGTTTGTCTGTCTGTCTGTCTGTTTGTCTACCTATCTATCTGTCTATCTATCTGTCTATCTGGCTATCTGTCTATCTGTCTATCTGTCTGTCTGTCTGTCTGTCTGTCTGTCTGTATGTCTGGTGTCTGCATCCATTTTTATTAGACACGTAATCTCTGAAACTCCTGGACCAATTGTTGTCAAATTTCGTATGTATATTAGAAATTATTATATATTATTACAAATATCACATGGATGGTTAAATATGAACCGAAATTTGGCTCATCATCTCCAGTAACAATTTGATGACGTCATTTCAATTAAATGATCCGCTTTCAGTTTTTTCGCGTTCAATTTTCGCAAAAATATTTGCAAGGTATAATAACGTTATATCACCAGCACGGCATATAAGTTCCCGTGGCACAGTAGCTTTCTCGGCGAACGGCGAGCTGAGGTCGAGGGTTCAATGCCGAACTTGCGTTGTGCCTACTTTTCTTTTGTGCTTTGACTAATATCATCTATGTTGATATTACCCCATTTTTCCGAAAAGAAAAATTAATATTCCGAACACTTTGTTTGACTGTAGTTTTATTAATATTTTTTAGGTCTTCTGTTTTGAGAAAACGAACTCATTCATCTCAAAATAATTTCTATGTGACATGTTTTCGATGCATAAACATAAATAAACACTTGAGCTTCAAATTGCTATTACCTAGTGGTGCAGGACATTTTATCCCGTTAGTTATGTGCTTTAAATATATTTTACATTATCCGTACGGCGCAGGGGCTGCGGGGGTGTTATTTATGGCGCTGGTTTTTACTTTACGGGGGTTATCACAAAACGAAGATGTAAAATCAAATTTTATAGTTTGTTTAAAGACCTGGATCTGTCGGATTATACGCATAGCCTTCCACCAATTTTTTTTATCAAATTAAGAACTTCATTTTCTAGAAAATGTGAGAATTTCTACGTGACATTCTTTCGATATACATATAAACATAAACAAACGAAGTTAAGCATGTACACTGATAATAATACGTTGTTTATTTGCTTTGAATATATTTCATATTGTCCGTATGTCTGCGGACGGCACCCCCTTGGAAGTTGCACCCCCGCGGCGCAGGGGGTTTGAGGTGTCCTTTACACCCTTAGTTTTTACTAGATAAAGGTTATCAGAAATTTTTTTTTTATAATTTTTCAAAGAAGGAAGATTTGTTGGACTGTACTTCAAAGGCGAGGGAAGTTGTGTCGAAGTAACTTTGGACCAATTTTTTTTCTTATTTATTAATATTCTCAAATTAGTATTAACATATTGTTTTAAGAATCCGAAAAATTTAACAAACAAAAATCTTGACCATTGAGCTCAATTTGCTTTACCATTATGGACTAGTATAATAATGGTAATACATTATGGATGCTAAAAAATATCGTAATTGACCATAATAGTATTTTTCTACTTCCGTATCTAAAATGTCATTTTAAGTTATCATCTCACCAGTGCCGGTGCTAACGTAGGTTTGACAGACATGAGCCATATGGCTAAACAGCCACCTAAGTCACGGACTGAAATTAGTGTTTTTAGTCGTGGCCTGAAGTTGCTTCTTATCAAATTGACAGTTGTGAATATTGACTTTTTGATGTCGGTAAGAGTCATTTTAAAGTTGAACATTGTATGCACACCGCCTGATAATGCGAGATACGGCTGCGGAGACGACTGATTTGCTGCCGACCAAACCAAATCATTTTAATAGATTCTAGGGCTGATATTTATTGTGTGGCGCAGTACCAGAGTCGCTGAAGAAGGCTAAATTTTGTTAATGATATGTGGGGTCTCTTATTAATGCTGAGTTTCGTGTTGTCAAGTAGAAGTATTAGTTTAACAAAACTTTTATAATATTCATGACGTTGGTATTTTAATTTTTGTAGGGTAATACATTTCAGAATTCCGATAAATGGTTTTAATTTGAAGTTGTAAAAAAACTTTGTATGTAACATAACGAGCGATCAAATAAAAAACACCTCTACTTACTTCTCGATACTCAAATGTTTTCTGAACGTATGGCGTAGCGACCGTCGTAACAATAATTTGAGCTTAGATCGATAGATCGAATAGTGACAGATTAGAGCAATAAGAAGTGACAGAACGAGTTTGACACTGACAGATGTACATTGTACGATGTCAGCTACGCCATACGTTCAAAAAACATTTGTGCATCGAGTAGTGACTAGAGGTGTTTTATTTTTGATCGCACGTTATTTATAAACGTCTGAGGCACTCCTTTTTTAACCACTCGTTCTACTCGACCTTAAATTCTTGAGTACACAGAGGTGTTTATAAAACTTAATGTATAATGTACTATTAAAGCTAAAAATCTAGTATACTACTTTGCCCTTTCCGTAATAGCAAACGGTTTATTTACAAAAAAATTACAAAGCATACTCATTTGAGTTTTAGGTAAGTATGATAACATAAGTTCTATTGTTTAAGATATTTAAGACTTTTTCTAGTATTACGGGAGTACATTTTAATAACGTCCCTGGTATTCTATTAACAGAATAATTCCATTATTCTCTACATTTTTGTTAAAAAATTCTATAATTCTCATCAACTAAACTGATCAAATTTATCTCTAAACAAGTTCTTGTTTTAATTTCTATTTTTACTTTTTAATAAATCTGCATTATTTAAATTTAGATAATTCCCTTATTGTCTGACAAATGGGGTACGAACATGTATTAACGCTGAAATTTTCGCTTTAAGGTTGGCAAACACATTATCAGTTCGTATATAAGACGTGGAGATTTCCCTAGTGTCTTCTTTAACTCTCCACTAGATTGTAAGAGTGAAAGATATCGTAACATAGGTAAATTAACATGATTACTTCTTTTATTAAAATTAAAATAAACATCACTTACTGCGAGAATATTTTTGTATAATGATAAGGTGTTGATCTACTTATTTTATTAAATTAAACATCAAAGTTCGCTAATGGTCTGTCTATACAAACTATAACTGTATATTTGTAATTTTATGGCACATAATAATTCACCATTTATCTTGTCGCTTTTATATTTAAAGTTTTTCGTGTTTGTACAGAGGTAAATACATATTCCAATATGTTGGAATTTTTCTATGCAGAAACAAACTGCTAAACTTGCTAACACTCTACTGGTGGTAAATTGTTTATCGCTCCAGTTATCAATGTTAAGGAAACTATTGTCTGAAGAGTGATATTTTGTTAGTAGACAACAAAAGTGGCACTTCAGAGTCTAGAAAATCTAACTTTTTGTCAACAGGCACGCACAAAGTATCCTTTAAATCACACGTGTTTGGAATGGGATATACAGGTTATTCACGAGATGCTCCATGCCTAAAAAATTCCACACGCATACAAAAATACAATTTCAAAACCACCTTTGATATTTAATACCATTTTAAAACAAATAAAACATGAGTTATCTACCCGTTTTGTGTAATAACATTGACGTAATGTCAGATATTACCACGTTAAATTTGACATTTCGGAAGAATTGATGCAGACTGTATTCAAACATCAAAAAGACTGATTAGAGCTAATATAATTTTGATCTATGTTGAGTGCTTCATGTTTGTATCGAGAATATTATCCGTACCTTGATGAACTCTTACTTTGAATTTACTTGTTTTTGCTTTCAATCTAACAATTGACGTTTATTTCCAAATTATCAAAACCGAACAGCTAACTATATTTTAGTTAAAAACAATGGGGATGGTAAATATCAAAGACTGCTATGCACTGTATTCTTGATTGCGTTTTAAATTTTTTAGGCGTGGAGCTTGTTGTGAATAACCCTGTATGTATGTACTCTATGTTTAAATTTTCGATTTCTTAAAAGCGTACCGTCAAACCCATTCCTGGAAAGCACATTTTTAACAGTAACTTGCATTCCAGACAACTGCGCCTTTTAGCAAATGATTATCTGCACTTTATTTAGCATGACAGCCACCACTAATTGAAGCAGTAGCGCATGCATAAGTGTCACCACGTAAAGTCACTAAATGCACTGTGACTGAACTGAAAGTTTGGAGTAAGCTGCCAAGGTGAATTTAGAGTTTAACCTCAGGATTAATTTGGTGATCGATTTACTATCGCTTTAAATACTGTTTAAAACTTTACAAGTTTTATGGCACGCTAGACTTTTTAATGACGAGAACAAACTCATACTTTTAACGGTATTATTATCGAACATTTTAGTTGACTTATTAGAGCCGTTTTACATGTCACAGAATTACTCCGAAAATCACAAAAATTACTACCAAAATTAATATTAGAAAATTTTGCAAGAAAAATATTCTATATTTTTTTTGACGGTAAAGTGCGAAGTTTTATTTTACCATCAAAATGTAAAATATTTTTCTTGCTAAATTTCTAACATGATTTAAATTTTTTGGTACCTACTGTGACGTGTAAAACTGCCCTTACAATAATGCTGCTTTTTACTGACATTGATTGTCTAAAGAAATTTGATTTTTATTATTTTAGTGGTAAACATCAGATTTCGTATAGAATTCCCAATGGAATATCTCAAGAATAAACTGACATATGGAAATTCCTTGCACGTCATTATTTTTAGCTCGAAAGGGGAACGTCTCTTGGAACGTACAATATACATATTAAGCGGGATTTACTGTTTTTATAACGGACTCTTAAATAGCGTTATATTCTGATTGGAGATAATTAATACAGTTCTTTGTTTATTTTACTCTTTGTTTACCAAGAATCTTAATATAAAATATTTGTTTTTTTTTTGTTTTAATCTTTTTTTCTTCGGACGTAAAATTTAATATATAAAATAAAAATAAAATAATATTAAATAAAATCCAGCAATATTCTGTTAAAAGTGTAATAAAACTTGAAAATATTTAGTTGGAAGAATTTCAATATGGCTTCATCATTAATACATTATTCATTGCTGTTCAATTCAAAATCTAAAAATTGTTGTCGCGAAATAATTATTCCAGTCTATTAGTAATGTACGTTTTATGATGAGCGATCGCCAAATTTTACGTTTCCAAATTTTTAAAAGCACATTGAGACCAGGAGAATTAATAGATTCTCTCAACTTCCCGACAGTTCTTTTCAAGGCAATCCGGTGCTGTTGAGGCATCCTAAATGTGATAAGTTAAAATAATTCTTTTAATAGTCTTCATAAAGTAATACCGATTATTGGACTGGGTGGTGATTGTCAAAGAGCGGAACTAATGAACTTGGTTGCGGAAAACATATGAGGACGAAAGAAACGGTTTTTATATTAGATTGATTGAACGCCATCAAAACAAAGATTGGACGAGAGTTTCTTGTGGCAACTGGAAATATTAAAGGAAAATTCTCTGAAAATGTGAAGTTTCCACTGCAGCGGACAAATTACAGGTAGCCTGTGAATAAAAACACATTAGGCAGTAGCAAAATTCGTAGCTTCTTATTTACAGTTAACAAGTTTGGAACAATATATGGGACATTGCTATGCAGGAAGTTTGATATCATTATCGATGTTTCAGGAGTTAACCTTTGCATTTGATTAAAGAAAGTGACTGTGGCAATTTTAGGAGAAGAAGAAAATGTTCAAAAGAATCATCTACAAGATCTTTCAAGCAAATAACTCACTAAATAAATAAATAAGGTTTATTTACTAAATTAGAAAAACACTTGTATTTTCACTGATAATATTTATAATGATTAATGCTACGACTGATCATTACTTGACTGGAAAATAATCTTGAAAGTGAAATGAAATAGTCGTTTTCCTAACCCAATTTGTGTGATGACCATCAAACTATTAAGAAGCTAGATTCATTGATGTAATAATAATTAAAGGTGCCTAATGCTGATTCATTGTTGCATATTCTAAATATACATATAAGTATTTCAACTTTTTAATATCTTTAGCTGTTATTTTATTATTGTGATAATTTTGAAAATTCCAAAAATTGTGGCCAAAAGCTACTTGTTAAGTTTGAGCTTTTAAAAGAATGAGTTAAGAAAAAAACTTACAGATTCGCGAACTTTGTTTTGTTCAATCAAAACATGAATTTGTCCCAGGAATAATTTTAGATAGGAGCTGAATTATTAACAATGCAAAATCTGTTCCTTTGGTAGATATATGTGAAAAACCCAAGATGTCTGACCTTTGAGTGTTTGTTAACATATTATTGAGTTCCTTTGTGCCTTTATGTTGTGTGTGTTACTTGAACTAGTACCTTTACCGAGCAGGGAAATATAATACATAATGGATTAAAGAGAGTGTTTACTACTGGGTTGCACGACATGCAGTTTATGTGGAAATTACTAGAGAACGACGTACGATGCATTGTAAAATCTTTGCACATTGAATTTAGATATTTACAGAAAAGCTAATGCTAACTCTGGCCATTGTTTGGCGCCGGACAAGAGTTATGCTGAATTCTTTACTGATCTTTATATTCGCAACTATTCCTATACGTAAATTGGAAAATCCTACATTGCGACATTTTTTGGAATCAAATATTCTCAAGCTTCCGCGTAAGTCAACACTTGGAAAGGGTTATGTCAATTTTTTATTTTGTAAGATAAATTATTTAGATAAAATTACAGTTAAAAGACGAATATACCGAGCGGTGATGAGTTTTTAATACAGAGATATTTTTACACATAATTTTAAATAAACGGTATTCAATTAAAAGGAAAAGTTGTAGAAAAAACACTCTTTTACCTCTCTTTTTTGTCTTCATGTAATTCCTAAATAACGCAAGAATAAAATTTAAAACTTTCTTTCATGCAAGATGTCATTTCGGAAAATACTTGCAATCTGGTTTATTACGTTTATTAAAATGAATCACCATGGATTAGTGTTCATGATGCTACCGACCGCTAGTATCAAGGTATTAAAAGAGCAACCACAAAATATAGTATTTGCTGCTTTAAAACCCATTGTCCCGAGCCCATCACGCTATCGAAACTTTTAGATAAAACTAAGTTCGAAGCGATTACCGCTCTAGCATATGACAATTTAAAACGTCTTTTTAGTTTCAGTTTTTCAGATAAAGTTTTGCTTTTTGTCGCGGATGCAGCTGCTTAGATCCTTAAAGCTGTTTACAACTTGAAAAATTTTCTTCCAAGCAAAATATAAAGTTTGGTCTTTATGATATGGATAAATTCTCTTGAGATTGGAGTCGCCTGTAGATATCGATAAATTAATTAAAGAAATAATAAAAAAATAAAGCCACCGCCAAAATAAATATAATATGTAAAGCGATGCATTCTCAACTTAGTATCTATGTAGTACAAAAAATGGTTAAAAAAATATGACGTCTCCCAAAATTAACATGCAACTTAATAAATCACTTAAATTTCATTTTTGGATACGCCGCTCTTGTAACTATTATCAACTGAGAATCTAAACAATTATGGACTACTAGGACGTTAGACTTTGTATTTGTTATTTAATTTTTCGATAATTATTGATATAGATAGTTGTTCTAATAACAGGTTGGAAAAAAAAACAAAAGTATACTGTCAATCACTTTGTAAAGTAAAGTTTCATATATAATATTACTGAAACAGTAGGAAAGGGAGAACAACCCAGCCGTAAGCAAGAATCCTGTTGAAAGGCTCGAAAAATGTCCGAAAAGAAAAGAAATACTTTATAGTTATAGTTATTGTTACAGTTATAGGGGTTCTCAGCCAAACAAAAAACATAGCCAGAATATCCAAAATTGGTCAGATTATGTACATAAAATATTAAAAGAACGAAACCGTCAAATGACCGTTTTATTGTGGTAGACGGTGAATTCTTTTGTACCTCAGACGAAGGCGATTATGCTGGACATACAGATTATTATTATAAAGAAAATCTTTCAGTTGACGCAGAGGTACGTTTTAAGCGTCACACAAAATTTTCAAAGAAAGTTTTGTTGTGGCTTACAATATCAGAGAAGAGGGTCCGCATATATTGTGCCGTCTGGAATTTCTATAAATGCTGAAATGTACAGCAATGAGTGGTTAAAAAAGCGTTTGATCTGTACCTTGTATAAGCTGTATTCTGATGGTAATCATGTCTTTTGGCCTGACGTGTGAAATAGGTGTCAAATGCCTTATACTTCCCGCCAGCAAAAAGCACCACAACTTCGTCCAATTGAAAAGCTATAATGTTATTAAAACAAAAATGTACAAAAGGAGCGGGACTGCAAGTTCTGTCGTTGAAGTAAGCAAACAAATAAAATCCATGTACTCGTAACAATAAAAATTAGAAGAGCTAGAAATGTAGTACTTTTAGGTTTAAATCATATGCTATAGTTTGCTTTGAAGAAAAACTTTTTTAGTTATCACAATTTAATTGAAATCTTCTCATACGAAGTTCTAAGACCATAAGTCCATGTTGTAGTGCAAGAATTGTAATCACATCGACCAAATTAATATTCAGCGTCAGATTTAATTGTTGTTGTATTGAGCAACCGCATCGTGGATTACACAGCTTCAACCTGGAAGTTGCTGTTCCACTCCATATACGGTTGTGTAGACTTCAAGCCGCAGGTCTCGTGATCACATTCTCGTCGGTCATTGTACGTCGGTTTTGTTGTTATCACTTTTCCTTTGTTGTTTGTTCATTAATTTAATTATTTTCATAAGTTTGACATTTTCACTTAATGTCATTTTCGGTGTTTTCTTAGTGAAATTCATACTGTTAGAGAGCAGCTTCTCCTTTTTGTACACCTATTATGAAAGTAAGTAGGACAATTGAAGATTAAGCTCTTATTATGGTATTTCCACAGTAAGTAAGTATATAATAAGTAACGATTGTTATTTTCATAGTTACAATTGTTCTTAATCAGAGATTAAATTTGATTTGCGTTTATGCAATCGGCCCTAAGGTTATCTACATCTGCAGTCGTCATCATGACAAGAATTACACCTTTTATTGTTATCACACGAAGATACTAAAAATATAACATACTCTCGTATAAAGCGGATAAATGGAGCACGATTACCGTTCTCGACTGTCTTTTTTGGAATTTAAGGGTGACGTTTCAGATAAATTTACACGTTTTAAATCAATACGGAAACATCAATTGTAACAAATAACATAATGCAGCAATATTTAAACGTTTATTTTCATACTGTGTAGTTTAGCTAAACACAGTATGAAAATGCGCAAATGATTCGTTCAAGGGTTGATCCGCCCTCACATTAATCTCAATTTTATCCCGTTCTTGGCGAATGTGGCATACTTAGTCTTCTTTATTACCCATTCTATTATCAGAACAGTAAGAACTGCGCGGTAACAAATTAAACAAAATGTTCTAATTACAATCTTTAACTTCTTTTTATTGTTATTACCTGGAACGACAAACATGAAGATAAACCAGGTGATTCCAAAAGCCAGACGCATCTCGTTTGCAACATCCCCGAAGTAGATGTTCCAGTTTTCCCCGCAGAAGTAGAGGTCAACATATAGAGTCCTGTTCTGAAAAGGTATATCTGGCACCTTCCAAGTAACAACCACCATGAGGATGGGCAAGAAGAGCAAGAAAGACAAAAGCCATAACACTAAGATGACCATGATGGTCGTCCTTCTGTTGAAGCAGCGGTAGATGAAACCGAAGGGTCTGGTGATCGCTAGGTAGCGATCCAAAGCCATGGCAGTTATGGTGAAAATACTGGATGCCACGGACACACCTGGAAAATTAGCTTTTTTAGAAGTTTCAAATACTAAAAGTTGTGTTAGTAAAATCCCTTCAACTACGTTTACATATTCATTTCATTTAATATATTATGCAGTGCATCTTTTTTAAAAGTGGCCATAGGGATTCCCATGTTAACTTATCTCCGAGTAAAGATTCAAAGTTGAAATTTTTACTGGACGTAATTTGGGTACTTTTGTCGGTAATATTGTAGGCAGCCATGTAAAAACAGATATTTACCTAACGTTTCTAAAATTTGATTACTCGTTCGATTACTGGTTTGTAGTGACCGAAATTCGTCAACATGCCGCAGCACACAATTAAAGAAAAAGTACAAATGGTCACTGATGGATACATTAAAGCCTTACCGACAACAAAGAAACTGCGCAAAATTTTGCTGCAGCATTCCCACCAACCCTTCCCACATCGTTCCATACCCAGCAAAAGCACATTTTGAAAATTTTATGGCAGAGTTATAAACATAGGTTTTTTTTCGATCGTGGACATTAAAAATGCAATTTCAGTGAAATTATCTTTTATTTTCTTCATTTATGTTTGAATTCCATCATTCTGTTTCCTTTTCTAAATATGTTTTTGAGTGGATAAAATGCGTTTATTCACGTGTATCATACAAGATTTTTTCCAATTTCACAAAATTTTTCAAAAAATTTATTATTTAGGTAATCCATATACATAAGTATTAATTGTACTATTACTAATATGATGAACATAAAGAAGGTAAATTACCTAAGCTGCCTGTACTTTCGTCACGGTCAAATTCAAAGGATGTGCCTGGACTTTCATTAGGATTGTTTTACAGGAGGTGGACTATCAAGCGTTGCAAATTTTAGTTGAATATTCACACATCCATAGCAACGAAAATTTCAGTGGTAGTGCGAATTTTTAGATTTTTTACTTTATTCGTGTTGTCAGTGACAGTGTGAACTGTGAATAAAGTGTTGCTATAAACATTTTATTCATCCTTTCGATTAAACTATTGTTTTAATTGCGAGATTTAACATACATAATGAGCATTTTATTAGTAGAAATTGGAAAAAGGTATTTAATGATTAAAATAAAATTATGCTGTCAAAAATGACAAGTTAAAATGATAAATCAAAACCTTCTATGACATATCAAAATTTTTTAATTAAAATAATTTTTATTTTTTAAAGCACACATTAACAAATTATTGAAAAAAGTTGCAGTGTAAATTAAAGTAGAACCCTAAATAAGGCTATTTTATCCGCAAAAATCATCTCCGGGTTTTCACCCTAACAAAAGATAACATGGCGTCTAAAATTTAACATGGGAATTCCTATGACCACTTTTAAAAAAGATGCACTGTATATTAAGAAATAAGCTATTTTTTGCTTAGTTATTTTTTTTTAATTAGATTTGCAGATATGAGCAAGGTAAGTAATGGATTTTAAAAATTCTGTCCGCAGGAAGTTAATGAATTAATGTTCCATAGGTCGCATTTGGTAAATTTGTCACGCGTCGTCATTAAAGTTGCGTAAGAGTTAATTACCAAATTGGCAATCAATTAATGGATGCATTCAGTATTAAAGTAGCCACCACCTTGAGTAAGTTTCTAATTTAATAAAGAACTCGAGGCCCGGGAGGAAGAAGTAGCTTTATTCAATTATTTTTCGGATAATAAGGGTGAATCTCATTAATGAATCAGTGGTGTGTTCTAATTATTTTTTTTTTGCGTGAAGGTTGTCTATTCGGGGTTCCAAATGGAAAAAAGAATAAGAATTCTTTATTGGTGATAATGAGAATATTAATGTGGACGGGTTTATTACGTCCTGAAGTACGTGGCCAGCGAATAAATCATTACTTCAAATTAATTTTTTATTATGTATGAAACAAAATATTACGTTGTAGAATTATAATCAGAATTAATATCGTGCGATTGAAAATAAAAACAATTTAGAGTTGACTGTGCGACCAAATGTATGAGTCATATTACCGTATCTACAACCGACACATCGCTCCTTCTGTCACCTGTCAGTGTCAAAATTTAAATAAGTCCGCAGAATTGAGTTACGTTAATCCAGTGACAAAATAAATACAATTCATTATACGAGTACAATTACATTATACAATTCATTAAAGGTTATGTTGAAACTAACATATGTCACATTGAGGGAAATTGTATCACCCTAAGTCTTTGTTTTATTTTATTTTATTTCTGATCGCACCATATTTGGTAATATGTATTTCAAACTCAAGATTATGATCTGCTAATCCTGTTGTCAGTTTCTAAAAATAGTAGCACCCATGTTATATTGTAACAACATGTCCTTGCTGTTATACAATAACTAATTATTATCTTTTTCTCTTTTTTGAGGAGCTTTTAACTCATCTCTGCCTACAAAATTCTGAATATTTATACATGTTTCTACTATTATTATTGTTATTATTATTATTATTATTGAAGGGGCTTAAAAATCGTCCTTGAATTCTCTATTTTGTATCAAAAATTTTGAGATGAAGCATTTTTAAGTTTTTTATTATAATAAAATCCAGTTTAAATTTTACATGCAACTGAAACCAGAATAAGGACGCACAACTACATCCTTGCAGCAGAATCTGTTCGGTATAATGTAGAATAAGTAATAACTAATACATAACCGTAAAGTAAATTCCAACAATTTTTACTTCTCCAGTGTAACCTAAGAAGTATTGTAATAGGGTCGATCGGGCAACTAGCTATTTTCATGTTTTCTCGACGCATCATGACCCCTAGAACACAAAAAAATTGATTCCCCGTTTTCGTCTGTCTGTCGTCTGCCTCGTTTTTTACCAGACAGATTGTTGTCAACTTTTATATATGTATACGTTAGGAATATCGCGTAAAAGATAAAGCGCTAACCAAAAGTTGGCTATTATGGCCAGCAACAATTTGATGGCGTTGCCTTATTTTTTTTATAAACGCCATTTAAATTTTATACTATATATATATACTTCTAGTTTGTGGATCCGCCATGATTTTTTTACCTTAGGTATCCATATTTGTCGGTAAAAATTCAAATTGTAAAATTATATTTTACACCGGTAATACAGCACTGACGTGTGGTAAACTCGACGGTTGTGCTGTAAAAATGTTAAATTATCAACTCTTAGGTCGCTGGTCCGATTGACTCATAAGTTATAATTTTTTGTATTAATCAATTCAAGAACGATTCATCCCATTTTCTCGAAAATTTGAGAATACAGTAACGTTGCGCGCCTGAATTTAATAGAATTATAATAACAGCTAGGTAGTCATCTAAAACAATATTCAGAACATTTTGCTCCACTGTAGCTAAATTAATAAGTTTAATGGCCTCCTCAGTTTTGAGCAGACACAATCATTCAAATCAGACAACTTGCCTCCTGCTTAATCGTCGCATTCTTTCGATGCGCAAATATAAATAATTGCATTGCATTGCTTTTAATATATTTCTCATGGTGGACTATGCGATCCGTGACGCAGGGGCTGCTGGAATGTTATTTATCTACGCCACTACATAGCATGCTTCTTTACCTTACTTTAACAGTCCACATGAATCTCTATTTTAACTTATAACGGTTGTCATAAAAAAAAAGTTATGTTATGCTTCATCGGCACAATGAGCTTTACGATAATCAAAATGTTTATTTTTTCATGATAACGCCTACATTATTAATTACTTTAACATCCTGTATAAACAATTTTAAAAAATAAATATGTATTACTAACCGCAAACAGTACTGAATTTCGAACCACACTTTTAAATAAACATTTATTTAATAAATTTGTGCTATGGTGTCATTAACTCTCTAAAAGAGATCAATAAAATAAACTTATTTTTTCAGTATTAAATCAAGGTAGTTGCTACAACAAAAAAATTGGTCCAAAGTTATTCAGATAGAACTTCGTTCGCCCCTGAAGTACAAGCGAACAAATACAGCTTCTTCAAAAAATTATTCATAATAAAATTTTCTGATGACGTCATTAACATTTTAGCAGTTTGAATAGGTGCTGTATAATCCTAGTAATAAAAGTATTCCATACAGAAATTTCATCAGACTAATTTGTATGCTGTAATTCTAGAATCTCGAAAGTTGTTCTGTTAATTTAATCAATGCATATCATTACTTGGTCTTAGTACCCGTAATGATAGAAGTCTTGCCTGAATGCCGGTCATTTCCGGGTCAGTGGTGGGTCTTAAAAATTAATTCCCTCATTCATAAATTTTTTTGACTCGTCCTATAGAAGTAATTCTAAAAAAAATGTATGCACTCATAAACTACAAGTATAACTTAATAATATTTTGCATATTTTAGACAGAATTTTTTAGGAGGGGATAAACGGACAAATTTTCATTAACGATTTACAAAGCTTACAATGACCTTAAATAATTTGCAAGAGAGCATTCGATTTTACAGTTTAAAACTTAAATGGCAAAATGTTATGTACGTTTTATTTTTTTTTTCAAAATCTAGATGTCTGTCACAGTCTCACAATACGATTATGTCACAGTGTAAAATTCACGGTCCTAAGTGACAGCAATGTCAAGAAAAAATTATTTGAAATTAAATATAAATTGTTATACACGCCGCTGGTAGTGTTCCTTGACCTGCTTCTTTCAATTAATAGCACAGAACGACTTGGATCAAGAACCAAAAAAGTGAATGATAAGAAACGTGCAAAAACACGAAAAGGGCCAGTCATCATCATCAGAATCAAAAGTCGATCACCATGAAGCATTACCAAAAATCTTTCGCACTGACCTTTAACGATGAATGAATGCATGAATGAACGAATGATAAGCAGCAGAAAGCCGGTTTTATTCGAAAGTTTTTCCACCTCTGTTTACAAGGTGAATCAGTGTCTTCGTATCGAGGGTGGTTTATGGGGGTTTTACCCCCTTCGATTTTTAATTTGTTTTTTCTATATTTCCACCCTCCTACGTTACGTAATGCCGTGGTTAAAATTATTGCATATATTTCGAAATCACCTTGTATAGTTTTTCATCTTTTAATGTTTCAAAAAATTTACACATAAAGTTAAAAGTAAGGCTGGATCAATAGTACAAAAAAAAGAAACAAGAAGAAAAAGAAAATAACCAACAGTTATATATCAAACGATAGACAAGCGGAAATAGAAAAGCGCGTCTTTATGTACTTTACAACCTGTGAATAGTATATTATATACCATGAGACTAAAGTGCACGATGTAATCCTGAAAGTGGAGATTAGTGCCAGAGCGTTAGCGACCGATTACATCGCACTTTAGTCTTGTGGTGTATATAATATTTTTTGCCCTCTAGGGACTAAAGATACTAAATTTTAAATTGGAAGAAAAATATTTTAAATCACCTATCATCAATCTCAATAGTAAGCTTTGTCGGGTAACCAATAAAGCTATAGGTGTAAATAAGACGAGCCATTTTGAATTTATCGATGTGTTTATATTACCACTTTAAATTAAAAAGTGTTTGGTTGTTATGGAAACACTTTTTATCCCTGGTGCCAAAAAGAGCCACTTTGGTCCCGGGAGGGCAAAAACGTTTTTGACGTTATATTGAATGTGTTTGAAATTTTTTAAAGCAACCATTCCCTAACAGAAGTTAAGAAAACTCTTTAAATATGGTTGTTTTGAAAAATCTTAGAAAAACAAATGTATGTGACATCTTAATTAATTTGGTATAGAGGTGGAGAGGTTATACCTTATTTAGAATAGGTATATTATTGCAATAAATATACAATATTTTTTCTGTGAATCTGATACAGTGATATGACCAGAAGAGAGCACGGAACATCAGATACTGGTAATGCATATTTCACTGACATAATTTATGAAACACTCCTTGCGTATAGTAGCCACCAGTGGCGGCTCGTCAGGGGAGGCAGGGGAGGCAGTGCCTCCCCTGGAAAAATTGACTATTAGTTTTTGTTTTAATATCTGTTAACTTCAAATATATTTTAAAGATATAGCAAATAACTTTTATGGAACACTGTGATTTATTAAAACGCGTCTTGGTAACATATTTTGAAGTACGCGCTTGAGACAGGAATAAGCGCTGATCATCGCCGTGTAGGCCAGCTTCAGACGGAGGCATGCCTCACATAGACGGATATCTTCAGTATGATTAGTCAGTGGTGCTAATATGTTTTTGAGTAAGACAATAGTCATCAGTGCTTTATCAAAGCGTCAGCGGAGGCACCAACGCCTACCGTCCTTAAGCCAATCAGATCGAATTTTTTAATCTCACGGTGAAACTACACGATGCTGAACAGGGATGCTGAATGCATTTAGTGTGCATTTAGTCGTGCATTAATTAGACGCGAGGAAAGGTGTTCACTGCATGTGCATTGCCAAGGTTATGTATTAAAACTTTTAAGTTAACTTGAACACAGTAGGACAATGAAAATGTCAGTTTTGCAATAGTGATAGCAACATAAGAATCTATAATCTCCAGAATTTCTTATAAAGTTTAAATATTTAAACACGGTTTTCTTACGACGCACAATTGTATGTCAAAGATTTAGAACCTCTCATCCAGATTTGAGCAGAAGTTTATTAATTAATTGATTAATATATTTAAATTAGCCCTAGATCATATGAATTAATATTTAATGCTAATAAAGCAAATTCTGTAGTCTTTAAACCTTCTTGCAGGATCACATGGCGTGACGCACATCGCACAGTGAAACAAATTCTTTTGTTTTGGAGCGTTCAAGGTAGCAACGTTATAAATATCGGAAAAGTTTTTATTTTAACAAAATAATATCTACTGAGGTAAATAATTATTGCTTTTAGGTTGACACTTGATTTAACAGATGTCACTCGAGTACGCCTGCGTACATTAACAAACGTACGAATCTGAATTGTCGGCGGCGTCAACGTTTTCGCGTCCGATAGCGGTAGCGTCAGACCAGCGGACGTCAATCTATAAATCGGGCTTTATTATTTTTTACTTTAAGTTTTAAGCTAAGGAGGTTTTGCAATAGGACCCATCCGATAAATCGCCACTTTCATGTTTTTTGGACGTTTCATGACCCATAGAGCGAAAAAATAGGTCGCCAATTCCGTGTCTTCTGTGGTCTGTTATCTGTGTCGATATTTATTATACAGATAATTTCGAAATTTCAGGAGCGAGGGAAGTTCTGTCGAAACGATTTTCGACCAATTTTTCAGTATATTATTGGCACATTATTATATATTTATCTCGAAACGTAGATGAATCTTAGATAAATTGTTCCAAATAAAATTGTCCAAAAAAACATACCTGAGAAAATTTGTTTCCAGCAAACAACAAGTATATTATTGGCAATATTATTTCTTCAAAAACTGTCAGCTTGTGTTGTGGACGGAAGAAAATACTACAGTGGCAGAAACTAAAAGTATTAAGTTGTGAAATTTAAATTGGTTATTTTTGTAACTATTGAAATGCGAAAGTAACATATGTGTAACAAAATGTTCTAAGCTTCGTAGCAATATAGCTAACTGCACTGTTTAATACTCGTATTAATTTATTACTATGTATCTTAGAAATGCAAGAATGGTAATTCGTATACATAAGTTTGACAACTGTAGTTAATGCATTTATTATCATACGTGCAAAGTTATTTATATTTAGAATCTCTGGACTGTGATGCTTTTGAATTTGCAACTTCAAAGCTTTGAGATCTTGAATAAATTAACTTCTAATTATTGATGAGGCAACCTTAATAATTTTACTTTTATCGCGCAAGACAAAAAATACTATTTTGCATTTTTAAACGAATCTGCCAATAATGTGGCAGTATAAACTCCTGGTCCAGTATCATCAGAAATTTACATTTCGCATTCATTACAAAGAACATACATCCCAGACCGTTCGAGTGTTATTTAGCGTATATTAACAAAAACATCACAAAATTTTCCAGCTGAAAATATTGGAAATACCTACTTAGTTGTAAACTGTGTTTACAAAAAAGCATTTTCACTAAACTTGATGTAAATAATTAACTATGTATCGTTAATTCTGGACTTTAGCAATATGCCCACTCTTTGATACTCTCTGCCAATATTTTATAGAATAAGAGGTTTTCATTGCACCCCTTTTGTCTTTCATCCTGAGTACTTTTCCGAAGCCATTCAATTCTTTACCGAGCATCTTTCCCGTATAATCTAAACTCAATAGTCTTTGTTTTCGATATCCTTTAAAAGGACTTTTAACCGAAGTGCTTTCAGTCGTTTAATATGTACATCACGCCTTTCTGGAGACCCTTAAAAGTCACGTCGATTTTTTCGGTTCATCAGGAAAGAAATTTATTTCCTTCAGCCATGGCATAATTGTTCAGACTTGACACCATTTGTCTTTGCCTCTATCCATAAACGAGCAAGAGACTTTAGTCTACTGATAAAAACATACGCGATGTTGTCAATTCGAGATGAAATATGAACTGATTCTAGAAATAATGACGGTAACTGTACGTCGTCGTATGATTGGTGTGATTCACTAAAGCAGCAATTTCTGTTTCATGTGCCCTTTCATGCGGAAAATATTGAAACCATTTTCGACATTGTGTTTGTTTATTGACGATTCAAATTGTTGTCTGTATCGCTGAACGGGTTTTATATTGCACGTTAGATGGCTCGTTTTCGAGGGAATTATTTGATTGGATCAGCTAGCTATACAGCTATTGATGAACGTTTGGCTGAAAATGATAAATTAGAATTCTACTCTTATTTCAGACATATTTCGCCGGCTTTCTTACATTTCCATTTATTTGCATATAATCGGTTTAACTCTAACTGAAATGCTAATTCGGTTTATCAAAGAGAGTTTTATTGCTCTCACTTCTGAAACGGGCGACTGATATTTCGTGTTGTGGACTCATTGGTGTATACACAGAATTTAGAAGTCCTTACCTTGGAAGTACGCTGATATCTTGCATGTGTATTCGCCTAAACTGTAAATGGAGGTGTATGCACGGTACGCTGCATTTGGCATGCACACAAGAGTCACCAACAAGTCCGCCGCAGACAGATTTACGAGGAAGTAGTTCGTAACGCTGAAACAAAAATAGAAGTAAGAAGATGCAAAGCTTAGAGAAAACCGAAGTCGGCGGTTAGAGTGAGGGATGCCGCAGGAATTCGTTCTTAACGAAGAGGGTAACAAAATGGAATTATAATTTATTTTTCTTTGATAGATTTTGAAATTTATTGAAAAAAAATGTTATTAGATTTTACTGCTTTTGCAATAATATTTTTTAGAACTTTGTGATGTATATGATACGTAAAGATCTACTTCTTATATCTTTCATGTAAGTTACCGAATTTAAAATTAGAAATGTAAATAAACTGTACTTGGGAGAGCATCATAAAATTTCGCTTTAGGTTTAGTAGTTGTATAGCATAGAAACTTATTGTTCGATTAAGATAATAAAATATCTGTAATTAAGAGAAACTTAAAGATACACTCGCTACTATAATGTTTATGTGTGTTGCACGAATTGTTATTCAAACTGAATTTTTTTTGAGAAAATCTGGATGTCTAGGGTTAGCATTTCTTTATAATAATTTATCCAAATATAATAAAGGAACTTTACCTAGGGTTAACAATCAAAGCGGTTTCATAAACTATCGAGTATATTACTTTACAAAATTTAATAAACATTTACATACATTCAAGATTTTAAGATGACATCATCAAATTGTTGGTAGGGATGATCAAACAAATTTTGGTTAGCTTTTTAGCATCTACACGACATTCCTAAGATATAACATATAAAACTTGACAAAAACACTGGCCTATAAAATGAAACTTTGTATGAAAAGAAATGAAAATATATGTTCTTAATCTAGTCATTTCTGCTTTTAGATTTTTACTTTCCCAGCGTAAGCTAAGGAAGTAATCGAGTCTATTGGCCGACTCCTTACTTTTATTTTTTCTCGAACTAGAAATAGGTCTCCTCTTTCCCTCTGTCTGTTTGTCTGTCAACACTTGAAGTTAAATCTTGTTATTATTGCTGAGAGGTCATTTTTTCTCATTGGTTATCTACTTTTAATACCTATACAGTCGCGGCCAGAAAATTTTGGGCGTCAGTATCATTCCTCTGTCACAAAATGTGAAACACCTTTAAGTATTGTAACCTTATTTTTTAGTTTTGTCATTTTTGACGCTGCAGGCATGCTAACATTGAATGCGACGTGACAAATGTGACAAATCTTCTTTTAAACTTCAAATATCAAAGTGACAATAAAGCATGGACGACATCAAATTTTCAAAATGCCAGGAAAATGACGTCCAAGATTTTCTGGCCGCGATCGTATTTTACATTGTCCGTACTTTGCAATTTGCACAAACCTTTGCAATTTGCATCCCCACAGCTCAGGAGCTGCCACGAGATATGTATACCTCTGGTTTTTACTTTATAGAGGTTATCACAAAATAAACATCGCAAAATCTAATTTTATCATTTTTCAAAGAAGCGGTAATAAATTTTATTCAAAATGTTTAAAATTATGATGAGCCTATACTTGTAATTTCTCATTGCATTAAAAGTTTTTGAACTACTTATACAGGGTGACTCATAAAAATTAATGAATGAGCCAATTTATTTTATTTATCAGGGACGGCGTATTCCATTTTCCCGAAAATTTGGGTGGACTGAGTATTGTTATCATTAGTATTACATTCCATCATTGCACCCATTGCATCTAAATTGACAGATATAAGTGTCACATCACATCATTTTGGAAGGAATAGCTCATTTGGAAGACTCGCGCAGCACGCTTCTTTACATTTATTTTAACATTCACACATATCTGTATTTTAACTTAAAAAAATTGTACTTTAGGGGCGAGGGAAGTTCTGTGGAAGTAACCTTTGACCATTTTTTTTCTACTAACACGTATAATTTTTTCAAAATCTTTGTAATCAGAGAATTATAAAAATAAGGTATTTATGCCAAACAAATCATTACCATCATCATCGCAAGGCATAAGATTCGACAAAATTGGTCCAGCTATGAGTTAACCAAAACTTAAACGAAAATTTCATGCAGGTCTTCAACATGGTCATATTTTTGCCAAAAATGTAACGATTGTAATATTTCCAAGATATGAACGCCGCCTATTATTAGAGTCTTGTCGATCATCTGGATAATGTGACGTACCAGAGAAAAACTAATTGCAGATTTAGAATTAGCATGTCCAATGTATTTATTCTCTTGACGATTTTTTGTTGTAGACCAGTGCAATCGGTGTGGTAGTTTCGCAGCTTATCTGTCTAATAAATACCGACACAGTAGATAGACAGACGGAAACGGAAGACCTATTTTTTCATCTTTCAATGGCCATGAAAAGTTGAGAAGGCATGGAAGTATCCATTACTTCCTTAGTAAAAAGGATATCATATGCAAGAATATTTTTTATTAATGCTTGCAAATGCTTTTCATTCAAATAATAAACATGGAAGTTTAAAATTTATACAACATTTTAGTCACTTTACTTTAACATACGTATATACAATTGTTTACAACTTTAACCAATGAAACCGTTTTCTAGTTTCACCTTTAATTTACCCTTTTTACCCAATTTTCTTCACCTTTGCTTTACTATTTTCATTTTACCATATGACAACGTGGGTAGGATTGAAAAAAGTCGTCTAGTAAGCCACGAAATTTATTTTTAAAATCATTATTTTGGTATGGTAGTTTTTATACGTTTCGGGAAGTCGTTAAGTCGACTACTCGCTCGGGGCGAAAAGCGACTTTTTATGTAAAGCTTTTCACTATTTGCGGAAATTCCATTCAGCAACACTGGAAATACTCTAATTTATTTACCACGGTAAACCAATCAACTAATCAATAGAAAATATTAACATCTTAATTTAAATTGCCCTTTATTGAGGCTTCCATTAGCATTTTTAAAAATATATCCACACAAGTTACAAATCGGGCAAATATTTTGTTGCCAACGAACGTTTTGTTTTGCATTATGTATGAATGTGCAAAAATCCGAATGGCTGCACATGTTTAACACAAAAGACATTTTTACATAGTTTTTTACGATTCAGTGAAAACTCACAGGAGAACTTTTCGCTCATTACGTTCGATGAGCATCCAGAAAACACAGCATTTTGTAGAATCTTTTTGTCTAAATAATAAAGTTCAATGCACGTACACAGCATAAAATGCCCAGGAGATACGAATAACTGTTCTGCGAACTACAAGCGAATTACGCTTAATTACTTGTCCACGTTCAGAATATACAACAGATACAACTAGCGGCGTGTTTACAGTTAAAAGACGAGACAAATAAAAGAAAAAATAAATTGGCGTTTTCAATACTTGCTCGGGATACATCTTGAGGCGCTGACAGTTGAACATATTGGAATGTATAGAGGAAACGCAAAACCAAAAGGTTTGAAAAATTACTTCGCATCTTGACGCGGTGGCTTACTTCTGATGGAAATAGAAATGTTTGCAGCATTGCATTTACTACGACATGGAAACCTACAATTTTTCCCAGGTACGAGATTCTGTAAAATTCATGTAGCAATAACGTGTCGCGGCGCTTCAACGAAATGTCGCTGAAATATTATAGGACAGTTGTGTAAGTGTCTTTTTTGCATGAGCATGAATTACCCGCACTATTTTTCCTACTATCGTATTTTGGAACATTGGACAAGTTTAAAGTTTAAAAAAATATTTTTAAAGACCTTTAAGACATATGGGGCGAGCAACATAATTTCTAATTGAGTCATTCTTGGAAAAGATTTAGAAAGTCGGTGATTACACACCACATTGATAAATGTCAAAAACTGACAAATGTAATGTAATAATAACAATATCTTATACTATTAAACGAGCAAAGTTTGTATACAGGGTGCCGCATCCAAGTCTGGATATAGGGAATTAACATGTGAATTGGTTTTTTTATTTTATGATATCTCCCCAGATCACTTTAAAGCTATTATTGAGTGATGCCTTTGTAGAGGTCGAAGAGGGCTATCGGCCAGTATTTTTTTCAAATCGTTACATCGCGCTCATTCACTGTAAAAAGGTTTTAAAAATCGTATTTTGAAATTCGCGCCCGATCCGATTTGTCACGAAATGTTCCGTCGCACCGTCGAAGTTCGGCGATCGCGTCTTTGAAATATCCATGCAAAATTCAAATGTCAAAGTGAAATTAGAAATTATTCTCAGAAATCAACGAACAACTCAAACTGAATTATTTTATCCAGTGTGATGGTTATTGTAGGTCAGTTTAAACGGAATAAATGCACAAACTGTACAAAATATTTTATTAGGTTATGCTATGTTCTACTGCGATTAGATGAAAAAGCGAGGGCCTGCTTGTTCTTCAACGGTTAATTTAATTAGTAGGTAATTTGGGAAAATTTCACACTTTTTTTTCGAATCACTAAAGATTGGAAGTCAATTGGGTTTACATTCGTTAAGCAGGGCTGGAATTTTTGCCACCTGGAAGCATGTTCGTTACAAGAAATTTTTGAGAGAGAAATGTAGAACATTGACTCATCAACATTTTAAAGTATTTTTCTCTATTACGAATGTGTTTTTGGATTCAGAAACTTTTGTGTTACTGTTTTATTAGTTTATTGTGTTAACAACAACAAAAATAAAAATAATATTTCACAAAACAAAGTTACATTTATTTTCAAAGGTGATAAAAAGTCAGTAAAATCAGGTGGGCACAACGTTTTCTAGGGATCTTAAAGAGATGGGATAGAAGAGTTTCAAAAAGCATCATGACAAAAAATTGAAGCCTGAGGACTACTTCCCACGTAGGGAGTTTTACGAAGGAATGCGTAAGAGAATCCAGACTGATGGAGAGTTGTTGAGGAACATTTGTTTTACTGACGAATGTTCATTTGGTCAGCGGAAGTTATAATCGTCAGAACGATCAAATTTGAGCATAACACAATCCTCACGTGGTCCATGACTATCGTTATCAATGGCGTGCAACTGTCAGTGTATAACTGGGGCTTCTAGGACATCATCTCATTGCACCTTTTTTCATCGAATCTAGTTTGAATGCTCAGAAG